ATTTGTAACTTAAAGGAAAAACCTACAATTGTGCAAAATGCAGGTCAGGAAATTAGACAAAATGTAAAAAAAAAGCAACGACTAAAAAGACTAATAAGGAGGGAAAATGATTTAATCGAGAAATAATAAAGTTAGCGTTTGTCTTATAGAAATTCAGTCTCAGAAATTAATAATGGAAAATAAGGAGATGGCAGATGAACAGAACCAACTAATTTGCAACTTTTCATTAGCAAAAATACAAGTATCATCCCTAAATTAGCTGTCAATTCTGGGGGTTATCATTGACCAGAAACTCAGCTGGACTCACCACATAAAAACAGTGGCTACAATAGCAAGTTAGAGGCTAGGAATACTGTGGCAAGTAACACATCTCCTGACTCCTGAAAGCCTGTGCACCATCTGCAAGGCACAAGTCAGGAGTGTGATGGCATACACTCCACTTGCCTGGGTGAGTGCAGGTCCAACAACACACAAGAAGCTTGGCACCATCCAGGACAAAGCAGCCCGCTTAATTGGCACTACATCCATCACCGACGCTCAGTAGCAGCATGTGTACTATCTACAAGATGCTCTACAGAAATTCACCAAAGATCCAAAGACAACACCTTCCAAACTGACGACCACTTCTATCTAGAAGGACAAAAGCAGCAGAAATATGGGAACACCACTACCTTCAAGTTCCTCTTCGAGCCACTCGCCATCCTGACTTGGCAATATATTGCTGCTCCTTCACTGTTGCTGTGTCAGAATCCTGGAATTCCCTCCCTAATGGCAGGTGGACTGCAGCGGTTCAAGAAGGCAGCTCACCACCACCTTCTCAAGGGCAACTAGGGACAGGCAATAAATGCTGGCCAGCCAACGACGCCTACATCCCACAAATGTATAAGAAAAAGAATTCAAGAACTGGCATGGAGGAAGAATTCAAGAAAATTATAATCACCAGGGAAGTAAGTCATATTAGCAAACTGCAGATCAATAAGTCACGGAGGACTTTCATCCTGGGATCTTAAAAGAAGTGGCTAGTGAGATAGTTGAGGCATTAAATTTAATATAACAAAGTTCACTAGATTCAGGAAGGTTCAATTAGATTGGAAAATAGATAATGTAATTCCTTTATTCAAAAGAGGAGGGAGATGGAAAACAGGAAACAATGGGCTGAAACTTTTTTTTTGGCTGTGTCAGTTCTGTTGAGCTTAATGAGGATCTCTCCCTGCAGGATTCAGCATGTTTTCTCACCATTATCTCACCGAACTACCTACTCTGCCCCAATGGCAACCCCTAAATTGATTTTACCCTATTCTAACACCCACAGTTCCTGGAAGGATATGTCAGCTACTGGATATCACCCAAAAGGCAAGTATCCCTGGCTGTTGTGTACCTGGACAAAACCTGGCATTCTGAAACTGCCTTACTTGATGATGGACAGTAGTTCAGAAGGTGTTGGACAAGGGGAAAACAGTGCTCTGTTCATTTGACAGGGATTTGGTGCTCCTAGTGAGTGAAGTTGTCCAGAGCAGGGCTATCCTCTTTCCAAAGAACTGCCAGAGGATACCACAACACCAAATCCTGGGAGCCTGGTCCAAAGTTGCCAACTTGGTCCATGATGTTTTGTAGCACAAAGGAACAGCCATAGTGTAGAAGAGGCTCAATGACGTCCTCTATTCCACCAGGGTAAGTACCACACTCTGCTGCCCCGCACTTACTATCTCTGCTATTGCACATACCTCTCACCAATGCTCCTGCTCTACCACTCTCACTACTGCATGCAACATCTTATCTCACTCACATTCATTCCTCCCAAGCTTCCCACACCACAAACCCTGTATTGCCTCTGCTCTGCCAGTCACAATACTCCACCTGCATCAGCAGTAAGCTGTGCCACTCATCGCTTCCTTTCTCTCTGTTGGAGAAAACAGCTGATAGCAGGGCACAAAGAGGGAGTGGTGCCCATTAACATGCTGATCACCTCCTACAAACAGAAAATTCTGAAACTCACATGAAAAGGCTGGGACTGTTCTTGTGAGAATGCCAAAACATCTATTTCTCACAAACTAAATAACTACCATTCTTCACTCCACCGCGACTCTCATCTCAATTCCACTGTCAGTGGGCATTCATTACACACTACTTTAAACCATTGATTGCAACACCTTTCCTCTCTTTTATCTTGCAGGTGCCAGAGGATAGCCTTGGCCCTGGTGGAGGAAATAGGCTGGTCTGCCAGAAGGGATCTCCCTGATCTTTGAGGAAAGTGCCCGGAGGCCTTAGAGGAAGCATGGGCAAGACTGCCTCCTGCACCCCCTACAAGCTCAAGGACTGACACATTTGGAAGTACAAACTGGTGAGCATGTCATTCTGACAGCTATGTGGCTGGTCGAGGAAGAAACTACCCAGTCCGCATGTACTTGGAACGCTGCTGAAGACCAGATATCTGCTCAGCCCCAGGCAGATTAAGATCCTGTCTGTTCAGCACTCAAGGATTTAATCAAAATACATGAGGTGGTACAGAGGCAGCAGGCAGATATGAGGCAGGCAATGGTCTCCAATGTCCAGAGGCTGCAGGAATACAGCTAGGCTATGGGGACACAGCTACATCAAGCATGCGACTGTCTGGCTGTCTCCACGGACAGGTTGGCGGCTGCCATGGGCAGCCAGATCAAACACTTTCACAGTCTGCTGGATTTGCACACAGATCTGCACTCCATCACCCTATCCTTTTTTTCTCATAACCAAGGGCATGGTGACAGGGGGATGGGATTGTTGAGCTCGCTCAGGTGCCCAGCCAGAGGAGGAATACCCAGAAGTCTCATCTCACCAGAGCAATGTTCTCAATAAATTACCTTTCCTGCTACACAGGTCTCAGAGGTCCCTGTTCAGTATGGCCTCTACAAGCAGAAGCCAATTCATCAGCTGGTATATTCACCCTCAGACATGCACTTTAGAGGGAACATTGCTCCAGAGGTGATCCACCTCTGACCTATGGATGTTCCAGTCAAGGAGGGTCCACTTGCCTCTGAAAAGACGACTCTCAGCATGTCTAGGCCATCTAAACACAAACTCACCCAATGTTGCCTAACCAAATCCCCATGGCCTACAAGCTCCAATGTCGAGAACAATCTCTCCTCCACAGTTGTGGAAACTGTAACTGCACTGTAATGTACTGGGAGGAATGGCAAATTGTTGGAACAGGTGGCATTACACTGTTTATCAATGCTCACATTTCAATAAATGTCACGGGATCTGCACTAAATCTGTTTGTTGGAGTCTGTAAAGCCCCAAATGGATCTGTGTCAGCACGATGTCTAATATCATGTCTACGCATGATGTAACCTGGAGGGGTTTCTGTGTTGACGGCAGCATGTGGCAGCAAGAATAACATGCTGATATGGAGCAATGTGTTCTGCTGACACTATTGCCCCTCTTGGTCAAATATCGCTATTCTTTCCCTGGCCTCGGTGTGAAAAAGTATTGACCTTGAATGAACTGATCAGCAATGTCTGGGGCAGTGAAGTGTACGGCACAGAAGGAGCCAATGCATTAGGATTTTGAGGGATTGGGTGCCTGCAGGTCTGTGTCCTATACAGTGTATGGATCTGTATATAATTATTCTTGCTTTCCAACATTGGTGGGCCTTTCATTCCACTCCCTCACAATTGAGAACCTTACCTGGCCCGGTCCAGCTGTGGTCATGGCCATTTTCTTTTGAATTGCGGTTTCCAATATGATGTACAACAACAATGATGTCTTTGTGTCTGCGAGCACCTAGACATCCAAATCACCAGCTCATGAATCCCCAAGGCTTCGCATTGCCCCATCTACAGGAACCTGCAGCTGCCCACCATTTCCATATGAACCCATCCCCCATCCATGCTTTACCACACCTCCTTCTTACAAATACAGTTCCACCCTTCATAACTGATACCTCTGCTTCCCCCAGCCTGCAGCCCCAATCCCCATGAACAGATTCCGGAGTGTCCTTTCTATAGCCACTACCCCCATCCCCTCCTCCAAACCCCATTTCCCCTTTCTAATTTAGGGCAGACCAAACAAAGTGACTGCAGTCCAGCACCTTGAGCAATCTAACCAGACAGCTCTAGTTGAGAAATGCCCAAACTCCTATCCAATATCTGCGCATCTCCTGGACTACGTTAGCCTGAGACACAGACTGACCACAATGGACTGACTGTGACCCACTTCCTGGACAGCAGAGGCAAAGACTCCCTGACCAAGAACACTCCAACTGGACACCTGGACTGCTGTTGGAGACGGTTGACCTGCCATGCTGATGGGGCTGCTATGGATTTTGGTGAGGACTACTTCCCTAAGACTTTGAGACATGGTTGTTTTCTGCACATGTGGTATGTTTATCACACAAGCTGCTGGCACACGGTGCAATTGTGAGATTGACGGAGCACACTGCCTCACAACAAGATGTACAGTCCCCTAGCCATGGACTACTGACCAGCAAGGCAAACTGCCTGGTTTTGTGACGGCAGAGATAGGCAAGGCAGGGATACTGTGAGAATGGCAGGTAGGCGCTAAGTACGCTAGTGCCAAGAGAACGTGAGCAGTCCTAAGATGCAGTCTATCTAAACTGACAGCCAGGTGCTTCCCGAGAATGTAAAGTGACCCTGCTGCATAGTTACTGCTGTGCTTTGAAGAGTAGATCTCAGCTTCCTCAACATCCTGCAAGAGGATAGCAAAGGTACCACAAAGATCCTGAGGGGTTGGCAATTACTAGATGCCTATGTCAGTGGATAAGGGATCCCATGTTGCTGGTTGCCATGGATCTTACCCAGAGATACTGTCTTTTTGGGCGTCCTTTGGAGCTGGCAACATGCTGAAGTCATCAGGTACCTGCTCTGGCCTGTTTGTTGAGAATTCTTGATATCTAGCTTGTTTGGCAGTTTTGATAAGAGAAGAAGTTAGTATCAATTAGGGGAACTGTGGTGTTAGTATAGCATTTAGCAAGCTATAATCTCCCTTAATAGGGAACTCACCACTGCCTAGTGAGAATTCCACCTTGATGCCTGGAACTTAGTTAAAAGATGCAGCAAGTTGTTCCCAATGTCAAGATAGGTCTCGCTGGACTCCTTGCGTAATTCTACCAGATTTTTCGCCATAACCCATATCGTTCACATCCCTATAAGATTGCACCCTCTAGGTCAGTTAACGCCTGTCATAGAGAAATTATTAAGGATCTATTATTAAAGACATCACGACTGAACATGTGAATAAATTCAATGCAATTAGACAGAATAAACAGTTTTATAGATAAGAAATTATGTTTAACCAGTTTATTGGACTTCTTTGAAATAGTAATGTACTGTGGATAAAGGGAAATTTGTGGATGTACTGAACCTAGATTTTCAGAAGGCATTAGATGGGGTTCCATGTCAAAGGTTATTCAGGAAAGCAAAGACTTGTGATGTAGGGGTAACATGGTGGCACGGGTAGAAGATTGGCTGACTAAGAGGAAACAGATAGTAGGCATAAATGGGTAATTTTATGATTGTCAAGATGTAACAAGTGGCGTGCCACTGGAATCAGTGCTGGGCCTGTAATTCTTACAATCTGAAGGGACTGAAGGTAAAAAGGTTGCTAAATTTGCAGAGATAATAAACATAGGTGAAGAGGACAGTAGCAGACTTCAAGACCATATAGATGGTTTAACGGAGTGGGAAAAATGCTGGCAAATGGAGTATAATGTGGGGAAAATGTGAAACTGTCCATTTTGGCTGGAAGAATAAAAATGCATATTACCTCAAATGGTGAGAGGTTGCACAGATCAAAGATGCAGAGGGATGTGTTGTAATGCATGGTTAAATGAAGGTTAGTCTGTTGATACAGCAAGTAAGTAGAAAAACAAATAGAATGTTTTTGTTTATTGTTAGGGGAATTGAATACAAAAGTAGGGAGATTTTGCTTCAGTTATACAGCGTGTTGATGAGACTACATGTAGAATACAGTGTACAGATTTGCTCTGCCTATTTAAGGAAGGATGTAAATGTGTTGGAGGAGTTCAGAGAAATTTTACTAGATCAATACCTGGAATGGATGGGGTTGTCTTGCAAGGGAAAGCTGGGCAGGCTAAGCTTGTGTCCACTGGAGTTTAGAAGAGTAAGACATGACTTGATTGAAACATACAAGATCTCGAGGGTTCTTGACAGGGTGGATGTGGAACAGATGTTTCCTATTGTGGGAGAATCTAAAACTAGAAGTCACTCTTTAAAAATAAGGGAGTACCCATTTATGTCAGAAAGAAAATCCTTCTCATTCAGACAGTTGAGTGTGTTTGAAACTCTCTTCTGCAAAGGCAGTGGAAGTGAAATCTTTGAATTTTTTTTTAAGGACAGAAATATTTAGATTCCTGATAATTGAGTAAAGATAACTACAAAAACATGACAGAGGAGCTGGGCACTTGATTGGAAGGGGAGCCTAACAGGGAAGGTAGTGGAGCAGCAATGACAGGGGTTTCTGGGGTAATTTGGGAGGCACAGCAGAAATTCATCCCATGGAAGAAGAAACATACTAAGGGGAGAACAAGGCAACCCTTACTGGCAAGGGTAGTTAGGGACAGCATAAACACAAAAGAAAAAGCACAGAATATGAAAATGATTAGTGGGAAGCCAAAGGATTGGGAAGCCTTTAAAAACCAGTAGTGGACAACTAAAAAAGCAATAAGGGGGGAGAAGATTAAATATGAAGGTAAGCTAGCTAGTAGTACAAAAGATGACTGCAAGAGTCTTTTTAAGACAGAAAAAAGTCACAAGAGAGACAAAATTGGACATTAGCCCTGTGGAAAATAAGTCTGGAGAAGTAGTAATAGGGAACAAAGAAATGGCAGAAGAACCAAATAGGTAGTTTGCATCAGTTTTCACAATGGAAGACACTAATAGCATACCAGAACTTCAAGACAGTAGGGGGCAGAGGTGAATGCAGTGGCCATCCCTAAGGAAGTGCTGCGGAGCTGAAAGGACTAAAGGTGGATAAACACCCAGACCAGATGAACTACACCCAGGGTTCAGAAGAAGATAGCTAAAGTGATCGTGGAGGCATTCATGGTAATCTTTTGGGAATCAGTGGAGACAGGAATGGTGCCAGTGGACTGGAAAATGGCTAACGTAACACCCAGGTTTCAGAAGGGAGGGAAGCAGATGACAGGAAATTTTAGGCTGATTAGCCTGACCTCAGTTGATGGTAAGATTTTATAGGCCATTATTAAGGATGCAAATTTCAGAGTACTTGTAAGTGTAAAGGACAATAGAGCTGACTCAGCACAGTTTCAACAAGGAGAGGTATGTCTGACAAAACTCTTAGAATTCCTTGAGCAGGTAACGAGCAAGTTAGAGAAAGGAAAGCCAGTTGAAGTGATTTATTTGGACTTCCAGAAAGCATTTGACAAGGTGCCACATCGGATGCTGCTAAATAACATAAGAGCCCCTGGAGTCATGAATAGAGCACTGGGATGGACAGAGAATTGGCTGACTGGAAGAAAGCATGACAGTGGGGATAAAAGGGGTCTTTTTCAGGATGGGAGTTGGTAACTGGTGGAGTTTCATGGGGTCAGTGTTGGGGCCACAATTATTCATGTTATACATTAACAATCTGGACAAAGGGCATTGTTGGTAAGTTTGCAGATGACACAAAGTGGAGGGACAGGTAGTGTTCAGTAAGCAGGAAAACTGCAGGACTTGGACAGGCTAGGAGACTGGGCAAAGAAGTGGCAGATGGAATACAATGTGGCAAAATGTGAAGTTATGCACTTTGGTAGGAAGAATAGGGATGTAGCTTATTTTCTAAACAGGGAAAGGCTTGGAAATCTAAAGCACAAAGGGACTCAGGAATCCTAATTCAGGGTTCTCTTAAAGTTAAATATGCAGGTTCAGTTGGTGGTTGGAAAAGCAAATAAAATGTTAGCATTCATTTCAAGAGGGCAACGATACCACAGTAGAGAGTCGAGATGCTGAGGCTACATAAGGCTCAGGTCAGACTGCATTTGGAATACTTTGAGCAGTTTTGGGCCCTGTATCTAAGGAAGGATGTGCGGGCAATGGAGAGGGTCCAGAGGAGATTTAGAAGGATGATCCCCAGGAATAAAGGGCTTGTCATATGAGGAGCAGTTGAGGACTCTGTGTCTGCACTCTTGAGTTTAGAAGGATGAGGAGGGATCTCATTGAAACACAAAACCCTGAGACGCACAGATAACAGTGGATGTCGAGATGATATTTCCATTGGTAGGAGAGACTAAGAGCGAAGGCACATCCTCAGAGTGAAGGGATATCCCTTCAGAATTGAGATGAGGAATTTCTTCAGCCAGAGGGTGGTTAGTCTGTGGAATTCACTGCTGCAGAAGGCTGTGGCAGTCAAGTCATTGAGGGTAAGAGGAAAGTTAACTTAAAAGGGTGGAGGTGAAGGTAGAAGGTAGAATTAATGAGGAGGATAGTGATGATGAGCAAACCCACTGTAGCCAAAGGCCTGGTGGGGATCTACGTTGCCTAAATTCAACGAGAAAGATTTAGAAGCCTTTTTCATTTCATTTGAGAAAGTGACTAAACAAATAAAGTGGCTGGTGACCACGTGGGTATTGTTGATTCAAACAAAGTCGGTAGGTAGAGCTAGTAAGGTATTTGCATTGCTATCAGGGGAGGTATCTGGGGAGCAGAATGAGATGAAAGATGCCATCTTAAGTGCATATGAGCTAGTACCAGAAGCCTACAGACAATCTTTCAGGAATCTAAGAAGGGACCCTTGTCAAAAGTACATAGAGTTCGAAGGGATCAAACAAAGTAATTTTGATAGGTGGATAAGGGCATTGCAAATAGATCAAACACATGATGATCTCAGAGAGACAATTATTTTGAAGGATTTCAAAAATTCACTTCCTGAAGTCATGAGGACTCATGTGGAAGAGCAGAGAGTTAAAACTGCAAGATTAACAGTGGAAACAGCCAATAAATATGACTTGGTTCATAAGTCAAAGTTTGGCTTCCAACATCAATTTCAGTCGGTGAGGGATAAAAATTTGGGGAAAGAGAAATCCTCAGGTGGTAAGGGAAAAGGAATCTCATTGAAGATAGTAAAGATAGTTTACTACAGCATAATAAGAAAACACATGAGGAGGAGAGAAAAATTTTTTAAAAACTCAGGGGTTTTCATTGGAATAATGTAGGCCACATGAAGTCACAGTGTTAGTGGTTTAGAAAAAGCACTGGGAAGATAATCATGGGAAAACAGGATAAGCCAGTGAGTTTTGTTGAAGAAGTAAAGGAAGCGGAAGCTAAAAAGCGCGACAGAATGTGCAACCCAATCAGGGATTGGTTGAGAAGAAAGTGCCAGATCTCCTTAAAGAATGTACTTGCAAATGGAAGGCTTACCCATATATGCCAGGAGGAGCAGATAAAGAAATTAAAATTTTAAGATATATGGGAGCATATCAATCATTGATGGTGAGAGAGATGAGGAGATATGTAATTCAGAAGGACTATTTCCAGGAAAAGTGGTAATATGTGGAATTTGTGGTGAGACAAGAAGTGCTCCATTATATAAAGTGAGGTTGGAGTGTCTGGCGAAAAGTGGAGAAGTGGTGATAGGAGTACAGGAGAAACTTTCTGCTTCAGAAATACAATTTGTCCTTGGTAACGATAGCAGCATCACAGGTGGGAATGAAGCCAACTGTGGTTGAAAAGCCAGTGTAACATCAGGCAAGTGAGGTTTTACAGGAAGTATATCCTGGAATTTTTCCTGACCGGAAAACCAGATGGTACCCAACCATTATGTGTGAACTTTCACAAAGTCAAGGCAGTTACAAAGTCTGATTTATATCCTATTCCACATTAGCAAATCTGTTTTGAGGAGGTGGGACAAGCAACTTATACTTCTAAGTTGGACTTACTTACAGGATATTGGCAGATACCTTTATCCAAAAGAGCGAAGACAATTTCAGCTTTTGTGACACCAAATGGACTACAACCTTTTAAAGACATGCCATTTGGTATGAAAAATGCGCCTGCCATATTTCAAAAACTGACCGATAAAGTAATTTCTGGATTACCCAATTGTGTGGTGTACATCGTCAACCCAATGATTTTTAGTCACATATGGAAGGAACCCCCTCCAATGTAATCACATCTTTCCTATAGTGTGATAGCTAGAGCTGCACATGGTTCTCCAGCCGTGGCCTGAACAAAGTCCTGAACAGTTCCAACATAACCTCCCTGCTCTTATAATGTATGCCATGACTCATAAAGGCAAGTATCCTGTATGTCTTAACTACCCTATTAATCTGGCCTGCTGTCTTCAAGGATCTGTGGACTAGCACCCCAAGATCCCTCTGAGTTTTGTGCCCTGCCATTCAATGAGTACTCTTTGTTTTATTACTTCTTCCAAAGGACATCACCACACACTTATTGTGTTAAATTAGATCTGCCACTGATCTGTCCATCTGACCAATTTGTCTGTATCCACCCTGTTCCTTACTGTCAATCACCAAGGCAAGCTTCATTACTGTTATGCCTAATTTTCACTGTAAAAAAAAAAAATTATTAGTGTATTTGCCCTTCAGATTTCTTAATTCCTGGTGGTGTTGGTTCGTATTGAATCCCAGTTTTTCTTCCTCCTTCTAGGCAACATTGCAGGAAAGTTTTATTAATTTAATTGTTTCTTTTTGTTTCAAGATCCATTGTGTTTCTTGACGTAAGTTGTATTCTTTTTTTTTATTCTTCAGGCCTTCCCTTTTATATCTTACCTGCACTATCTCCATATCCCTAAACACCACAAGCTTTTCCCTCATTACTGTGTGCAGACACTTGCACCCACATCTATGCTGATGGACATATGCACTCGCTCCCTGCTGCCCTAGGTTTGATTACTAATCTTCACCAGTTTGCTAGCACTGAGTTAAAGGGTGATGGAATGAATAGGTGATGGAGGCGTGGAGTAAAGAAAGGAGGAAGAAATTGGTGAATATCTTCACATGTATATAAAGGAGCTTGTGTAATGGATTAGGAAGTGGAGGAAAGGAAGAGATTGGGCTTAGAAGGTGGAGACACATGGACTGAGAGAATACGGGAGAGGATTTATCCAGAATTAACTTGGATTTGTAAGCACGGTTTAGAGCTCTACCTCCTTCACATTATTTTCCATTGCTGCCCAGCACACTGGACAGATTCCTTCCCTTACCAATGGCTTCAAATCTGTAGGCATCCCTCCCACTGATAACCTGACAATCTGCCTGCAATACAGATAAGATCCTTCTACAGAGCTGCCACCCACCAACTTGGCCTGGGGTAATTCTGTATCTATATTCCAAGCAAGCTCACAATTTGGGCTAGATTTCTCCCTCTACCTCAAACCCTTATCCTTACCAATGCAACCTGTTGAAAATTTTACTCTTAACAGTGCCTTTCATATGTAGTCTGTGGCTGTCTATAGCTCACATTCTTACCTAACAAGCACCTCCCACACACTATTTCAGTACTGAGCCAGCAATCCTTACTGACTCACATCCATCACATCTACTCCTGGCTGAAAATAACAGGATCCAAAAAAGAATACCTGTCCATCCATGCATTTCATTTAATCTGTCCAACCATTCAATCCATTCCAATCTATCTATCTGTTCTGAAGACAACAAAGTGCGGGAGATCTCAGAGGGTGAGACAGCATCCATGGATCTCCAATCGCTCGAGACCTCCATCTCCCACCAGGACGGTCTGCGAGCTCTCAGCTTCTTCCTCGACCAGAGGCCTGAAAACTCCCCCTCCACCACCACTCTCCTCCTCCTGGCTGAACTTGTTTTCTCACTGAACAACTTCTCCTTTAATTCATCTCACTTCTGCCAAGTCAAAGGAATGGGGTATGTAGAGCAATCCTTGTTCCTGTCCTACACTGGCCCCTCTCCTACAATATCTTTGCTTGATACATGAACAACTGCTTCAGTGCTGCTTCATGCTGCCGCCAGGACCTTGAAAAATTTGTTTATTTTGCCTGCAATTTCCACTCCTTTATAACTTTCACATCAAAAATTTCCGACACTTCCCTTTCTTTCCTTGACCTATCCGTCTCCATTTGGGGTATAAACTGTCCACTGCCATCCACTACAAAGCCACTGACTCCCATACCTACCATCACTACAGCTCTTCACACCCCACGTTCTGCAAGGACTCCATCCCATTCTCCCAATTTCTTCGTCTACGTCGCATCTGTCAGATGATGCCATCTTCCAAAACAGTGCTGCTGATATGGATTGCTTCTTCCATAACCACAGTTTCCTGCCCACTGTGGTTGACAGGGCCCTTAGCCACATCCAACCTACCATCCGTGCTTCCGTCCGTGCCCTTTCCCAACACTCTCAACAGTGTAATAGGGACCCCTTGTCCTCACTTTTCATCTCACCAGTCTCCGCATTCAAAGGGTACATCTCCGCCATTTCAGACAACTCTAGCAGAAAGCCATCACCAAACACATCTTCCCCCTCCGCCGTCTGCATTTCGCAGTCAATTTTCCCTCCAGGACACCTTAGTCCATTCCACGACCATCAACACCAGCCTCCTTCCCACGTAACTGCATAAGGTTCAACACCTGCCCCTTCACCTCCTCACTGCTCACCATCCAAGGGCCTAAAGTGTTTCCAGGTGAAGCAGCACTTCACCTGTGCCTCCTCCAATCTTGTGTATTGTATTCCCTACACCCAATATGACCTACTCTATATTGAGAAACTAAATGCAGGCTGGGCGACTGCTTTTTAGAACACCTCCAGTCTATGTGCAAGCACGACCCCCACTTTCCCATAGCCGGTCATTTCAACACAGCGTCCTGCTTGCATGCCCACTTGTTTGTCCTTGGATGCTGCACTGCTCCAGTGAATCTCAGCACAAACCAGAGGAACAACATCTCATCTTCGGACCAGGCATTTTATAGCCTTCTGGACTTAATGTTGAGTATAATACCATCAAATTATAAACCAAATCCCATTTCTTCCCTTTCTTTTAGCTTTACTTGTTATATTCTCTGTCACTATGTCCTCTCTCCCCTTCCCCCACCCCAGTGGGACTGTCTGTTCTTTCAAGTCTGGCAGTTAGACACACCATTGCTCTGCCATTCTCACATTCCAATCACTTAATGTGAACTATCAACATCTTTTCTCCACCAGCACTCTACACCACACCTCCATCACACTCCCCCATCCACCCCTCAACTATAGCATAAATGGTGCCCCCTCCACACTTCACTTCAGCTTTGATGAAGAGTCATCTAGACTCGAAACATTAGATTGCTGCCTCTCTCTCTCTACGGATGTTGTCTGACCCGCTGTGATCTCCAGCATTTGTCTTCAGTACTGATTTCAGCATCTGCAGTAATTTGCTCCTACAGTTGATCTGTTCTCCCATGTAGCTATAAACCCACTACAGTGTTAAGATGAAAATGTACCTGAAAAACTTCTCCTCTGTTTCCTGTTATCATCAACATTTTGGTGGTCATACATCATTCATTGGCAAAAGTAAAACTGGAAGCAAATCAGAACTGCAAAGGTAAGAGGAAGCATATTAATCAAAAGTGAGAAAACAATGGAAAATCGCCAATGACATTTGTCTAAGGACTTTCAAAGCAGCTTATCTTGCTTGATCAGTGAGGAAACCAACAAATTACTTAAATAAATGATGTGAACCAAATGGCTCACTCAAGAAAAATTGAACAAAGATATGCCTGTCATAAAATTAAAGAATTAAGAAGTACATGTTCCATTAAAATAATAAGTTAATTATTTCTGTTATATATTGGATGTTCTTTAAATTTAAGCTTTTGCTTGATAATTTTTTGGCCAGGTCTCTGCCACTAGCTCAAGAAAGATTGTTAAGTATTACTAAGAATCAATAGCATTTGAAAAGCCAAAGAGCAAATTTAGAAAGGCTTATTGAGCCTTTGTTGATTTTGAAGACTTGTAAGTGAGGTTGTTGACTTGCTCGCCTAGTTGGCTTGTTTTTGTTCAGATGTTTCGTCACCGTGTTAGGTGACATCATCAGTGGAGCCTCGAACAAAGCGATGGTATTCTACTCCGCTTGGAATTTATACTGTCCGGTCCATTATGGTGAATACTGCCACTCCCAGTTTCGCTCTGTATGGGTTTGTATATGGGGTCCAATTCGATGTTTGTTGGTTGAAGTATGGGTGGAGAGCCATGCCTCTAGGAATTCCCATGCATGTCTATGTTTGGCTTGGGCTACTATGGTTACCTTGTCCCAGTTAAATTGATGGCCTTCATTGTCTGAATGTACTGATATTAAGGAGCTAGCAGCAAAATGGCATGATGAATGGCGAGCAAGTCAACAACCCCATCCACGACCTGAGCTACAGATCTTTGCCAAAATTTTAAAAATACTTGTAAGTGTGTGCATGTGAGTGTGTGAGAGAGAGAGAGACTGAGTGAGTGAGTCAGTGAGTGAGTGAGTGGAGTGAGAGGGAACACAAAATTCAAATATAACTGATTGCTAGTTAAAAAAAGTGTTGCTGCTTTCAAGTTTGATTAAGAATAATTTTAATCAAATTCAAAAATTGTGTCTGAGTAACAGTATTTTAGCTTATGTGATTTTAAAAATGACTTCAACCACAAACTGCCATAATGAATTTGTGTTGGTTTTCATCAAACTTATAAATTTAAGCTTTTTAGTTCAAAATGATCAAGAGATTGCCAAGTGCAGGGCCTGGGGTGGGGGACACCTACAACTGCGTTCAAATGTATTTTATCATAAATTTCACGGTGACAAAGAAACTCAGTGCCATGTACACAGTTTTGGCCAGTATTTAGTAAATCAAATAGCACAACAGCTAGCACTTTAAAGTTTGTCCCTAACTTTTTATCCAGGTAATCTCACCTTTCAGTGCACAACCATTTTTAATGCTATTGAGTATGCAGGATTATTTCATTTCAGAGTAAACTTAATGAAGTCAATGCCACATAATCCCAAGCAATTAACAGATGCAACACTCCAAGGAGAATAGAGGGTGTGCACATTTAAGTTACTGTCTATGTTAACTGAAAACAAGAAATTGGAATTTTCTGGTTGTACAGCAAATTCTTTTGGCATAAGTCATTTTGAAACTTCCATTGTATGTACAATTGAAGAGATTTCCTATTTTTAAGGGAGCTCATTATTTTTCAGATTCTTTATCAAAAGATATCAACATTTTACTTAGTTAAGGCTTGTTAATGACTGAATGGTTCACTGCTTTTTGAAAAGACATCTGCCAATTTACTCAGTAACTGAATTGTTTAATGTCAAAAAATTTTATTCAAAATTTTTAAAAATGTACTTCAGAATAATGTCATTAAATCTGCCATTGAATTGTGTTTCAACATATGCTCAAGTTGTTGCTCTGAATTCCAGCCTGCGTCAAAAGCCTAACCTTTATGCTTGACGTGATTTAAGACATTTATTTTTTTAAATTCTCAAAACCGAAATCTGTGAAGCAGCAGCTATAATTTAGCAGTATCAATGGCCATAGTGTCTTCATTGATGCTTACAAAAACAGATCATCAATGGACAATAGATTATTGTTGAAGCTTTAGTTAAAAGGTTGTGTTCTGCACTACTTTTGAAGCTTCACTAATGTTTTTGTAACTGCATAAACAATTAACTTGAAATAATGATTTCTTGTTCATTATTTAGAAAAGCACAGTTTGATTAGAAATAGTCAGCATGGCTTTGTGAGGGGCAGGTCATGCCTCACAAGCCTTATTGAATTCTTTGAGGATGTGACAAAACACATTGATGAAGGCAGAGCAGTGGATGTGGTGTATATGGATTTTAGCAAGGCATTTGATAAGGCTCCACATGGTAGGCTCATTCAGAAAGTAAGGAGGCATGGGATTCAGGAAAATTTGGCTGTCTGGATACAAAACTGGCTGTCCAATAGAAGACAGAGGGTGGTAGTAGATGGAAAGTATTCAGCCTGGAGCTCGGTGACCAGTGGTGTTCCAAGGGATCTGTTCTGGGACCTCTGCTCTTTGTGATCTATATAAATGACTTGGATGAGGAAGTGGAAGGGTGGGTTAGTAAGTTTGCCGATGATACAAAGGTTGGTGGAGTTGTGGACAGCGTGGAGGGCTGTTGTAGGTTGCAACAGGACATTGACAGGATGCAGAGCTGGGCAAAGAAGTGGCAAATGGAATTCAACCGAGAAAAGTATGAAGTGATTCATTTTGGAAGGTCGAATTTGAATGCAGAATACAGGGTTAATGGCAGGATTCTCGGCAATATGGATGAACAGAGGGATCTTGGGGTCCACGTCCACAGATCACTCCAAGTTGCTACTCAAGTTGATAGGGTTGTAAAGAAGGCGTATGGTGTGTTAGCTTTCATTGGCAGGGGAATTGAGTTTAAGAGCTGCGAGGTTATGCTGCAGCTCTATAAAACTCTGGTTAGACACTTGGAATATTGTGTTCAGTTCTGCTCATCTCATTATAGGAAAGATGTGGAAGCTTTAGAGAGGGTGCAGAGGAGATTTACCAGGATGCTGCCTGGACTGAAGGGCAGGTCTTATGAGGAAAGGTTGAGGGAGCTAGGGCTTATTTCATTGGAGTGAAGAAGGATGAGGTGACTTGACTGAGGTGTACAAGATGAGGAGAGGCATAGATAGAGTGGATAGTCAGAGACTTTTTCCCAGGGCGGAAATGACAATTACAAGTGGGCATAATTTTAAGGTGATTGGAGGAAGGTATAGGGGAGATGTCAGAGGTAGGTTCTTCACACAGAGAGTGGTGGGCGTGTGGAATGCGCTGCTAGCAGTGGTAGCGGAGTCAGATACTTTAGAGACTTTTAAGCAACTCTTGGATAGGCACATGGAGGATAGTAAAATGTAGGTTGATCTTAGTAGGATAATAGGTCGGCACAACATCGTGGGCTGAAAGGCCTGTACTGTGCTGAACTGTTCTATGTTCTATAAATTTAAGTTTATGAAATATTTCATAGGTCCTGAGTTTTGCAGCACTTTGTTCCAATTTTTGAATCAGCTTTCTGAAGACAGTGCATTAGTTCTTAAAGGTGTTTCACTACCTCTGTCTGATTGTTGTCAACAATTAAAATAATCAAACCTTATTTTTAGCATTAGGTTTAATGTCATGTGTACTCAAGTACAGGAGTGAAGTGAAAAGTGTACAAAGTTGCCATTCTCCACTGCCATCTTAGGTACAAAACCGAAATCATAAAAAAACGCATCATAGATACAAAAGCCAAAACAACCAATGAAGATACAACAACCAAAATTAAAAAATACAAAAGCAGAAATACAAAAAAAAAGCCAGGAAGAAAAGGGAAATTGCCAGATCTAAAAGTCTTATGTCCATAAAGTAAATCTTATCTCAGTAAGGTAAGCCTTGGGTCTCAGTGTTGCTACTGCCACAGGCCCCTGAAACTTGCTCCTTAGATCTGTTGCTGTTGCTGAATCCTGAAACGTGCACCCCCGACTAATTGCTGCCATTCTACTCTCGCCGATACCCCGTAGGGGCTGCAAAATGCAAAAAGTAAGAAAAAGCAACAGTAAAATAAGGAAACAAAGCAAAAAATTACATGGAAGCAGATGAGCCCTGGACACAAACACTGTGGTGCTAGTCTCTAACATCTTGGTCCAGGTCTAAACATAGTAATTAAACCCTTTCCATTTGTCTGAGCTGCTTTCAACAAGCAGATCTTTTCCAGAAAAGTATAACAATTAGAATGCCTGTCTCACTGGCTCCTCATGTTCAAAATTGTGTCTACAAGAGCAAGTCAGAGGCAAGGAATACTGCAGCAAATAACTCATCTCCTGGCTCCCCAAAGCTTGTATGTTATCTACAAGGTACAAGTCAGGGGTGTGATAGAATACTCTCCACTTGCCTGAATAGGTGTAGCTCCAACAACAGGACAAGAAAGAAGCTTGACACGATCCAGGACAAAGCAGCCTGCTTCATTGGCACCATTTCCACAAGCTTCCAGTCCCCCCACCACCAATGCTCCATGGCAGCAGTGTGTACTATCTACAAGTTGCGCTGCAGAAATTCACCAAAGATCTTCAGATAACACCTTCCAAACCTACCGCTACTTCCATAAAGAAGGAGCAATGCAGCCAATATATGGCAATATTGCCTCCTGCAAGTTCCCCTGCAAACCACTCACTATCCTGACTTAGAAATATAATCGTCATTCCTTGAGTGTCACTGAATCTAAATCCTGGAATTCCCTCCTTAATGGCATTGTGAGTCTACCTACAGCAGGTAGACTGCAGTGGTTCAAGAGCAACTAGGGGTGGGTAATAAATGCTGGTCAGCCAGCAACACCCACATCCACAAGTAAATAAAAATAATTCACATTTTCTGTTTTTAATTAGCATGGATCATATAACTCAAGTGTGTATATCCTGTTTCTACTAACCTCAGAGTTTTACATCTATTAACTACTTATGGTTATGAGACACTAAATTCGCGTAGTTTACACTGAAATTAAGTACTCCACATACTCATCAGCCGCTGGGAAGTCAAAATGGCTAGGTGCCATACGCACCATGACGGGTGAAATGTTCGGGAAAAACTTCAAAGTGCTACCTGTTTAAGCTACTTATTTTCTTAAACATTGGACAAAACTGTGAACATGGCCGTCAGAAAGCTTCTACTTTGAAAATGAGTGTAATTGTAGACAATTCGCTAAACCCCACGCTTAAGCTTACGATACGATAGGATTCCAGCCAGCCTTTTGAGACTTTTCACCTCGGATGACAGGGTTCGGTGTACAAGACCCAAATCAGAAAATTAGCGTATAGTCTAATCTGAAATTCAAAAACAATAATAGATTCGTGCTGCATTGATGGAACACTCAACCTAAACTCGGTGACAATGATCAAAGCTGACAGCAAAGTACGGTGCAAACCATCAGAATTTTATATTTACGGCCTTTTCTTAATTTAACCTCAGTTACAAGAAACCTCCAGCAGAGGGAGTCCGATTTCTTTTTAAAAGCTGCTCGAAACTGCCAAGCTGGGGGAAAAGACCCACAGGGAAAAATATAAAAGATCAGGGATTTTTTTCAGGAATGAGCACATTTTGTTCAAAACGCCTACTTGAGTGACGTACATTGATACACGAGGGCTGCACCACGTGACTCCGCCCAACTCGGCAACTCAACATTCCAGGGTCATGAGACCGCTAGTGCTGCTCTGTGATTCGCCGAGAGCCGGGCTCGGGGCTGCTGCGCGCGCGCTCCTCGGTCAGCCACTGTATCCAGCCTGAGCTCTTGTGGGTGGGATTATTTGCGGCGGCTCGGTTTTTTTTGGGCACGGCAAAATTTAACAAGCATTGCATAACATCTCAAATAAAAAAAAATAAAATCCACTCACTTTCCTCCAATTTCCAAGCATCGCGCAGCATCTTGTCGTGCCACTTTCTATAGATTATTAATATAGCCAGGTAAATTTCACATGCAGCGAGAACCCAACGCCGATATGTTTCCCGAGGGTTACAACTTCACAGCAGCACTTGCCACAGATTAATTTTCAGAGTAATGCTAAGTAGCGACAGTGTAAATTTACTAACTTTTCATCGCGTACTTTGGTGACCTTCAATACCATAATTGAGTCACATAATGTGGTTTGTGATTGTTATGTTGGTTTGATGTCCTTGCTCTTTGTGATGTACATTCTGTCGTGGTTTTTGGTTCTTTCGGTTTCCGTTCCCAAACAACAAAACTAAACCCTAAAAAGCATATTTTAAATACACCGTAACAGTCATTTCTGATCCAAATCAGTCTATAATCTAGCAAATTTGAAATTCCGCTCATATAAAAGAGTCGGAACTATTTTAACGATTAATCTTTCAATCGGTTCGTGTCGTCGTTTGAAAAATATCATGTTTCTCGATCAGAAACTGGAGAAAACCTGTTTACTTGCAAAGTAAAATACGAGCAAGAGTTCAGACAAGGTTAACTTTTTCTCCAAATACATACAACGTATAATTTTTTCGATATTTTGTTTGCGTTCTACATGAAGAGAACTGTTACCTTCTGACTTTCTGCTTCGTTATACGTAATGCGAATTATAAATGCATTATTTGTTTCGAGGAAACCGTTTTATTTTAAAATAAGGCGTTAATTCCCTCCAGCTTCACGGCCGCTAAATTAACAAGAGGAATAAGACAAAACTCGAGCTTAAAAATGAACTCTGCTTTATTTTAGTTTTGTAAATCATACATAAATTAGCCTGTCGAAACCAAAGATTTCATTTTAAATACTGAAACCGGATTTGAGAAGCGGAATGGTCGGCTTTGCTTGACTATCATTTTTGATTAATCGTCAATCTTTGTAATATAAAATCGTCACACATTTACATATATGTAGATTTAATCCTCATTTATGAAAAGGTCATTCTGCTTCTGGAATGCCGCATTATAGACTGTATTTACTAATTCGCTTGCCAGAAACCACGGGAGAGATTAACATTTTTAAAAGGGAGTGTAATTGTATCTGGACATCAGAAAATGTTAAATATACGTGTACGATATCACCACGAGGGCTGTAAGCATTAATACATTTATCAGAATGGATTGGAATACCAAAATAAAAGATCTGACATTTGGAAAAAGCATTTTTTTTTTGTTTATGATGCCTCGTATTCAATACCGGATAGTAAATATCAATACAGTTCTAATTTCTACAACGACTGCTTGCTAACATTAAATAACTAACGCTTCTTTGCTGGATATTTAGTTATATAGTGGCAGTTTAACACTATAGCTTCATTAAATGTTGCATAAGGAGCTCTATGTATACAGTCCGACAAGAATCTGTTTGAAAGTGAAATTTATATTAATTGACAGATAATCTGTGTCGGGAAAACTTTCCTTTAGCCCTTTGTTTGTAAACTATAACAAAATATTGCAAGAAGACATAATTTCAGTAAGTGTTATGAAACCAATCCAATTTCCCGTGTCATGTGAGGTCAGCACAGGCAGTTAGTCACCACCCCTAACTCTCTCTCTCTCTCTTTCTAACGGATTCTTTTTGTTTTGTTGCCACATCACCCAGGTTCAATTCTACATCTGTTTAGGCAGAGGTTATTTGTCGTCAGAAAAATCCTTAAAAGTAAATCGACCCCAACTCCACCCCAAACAACAACAAAAATGTTTCAACGAGGAATTTCCGGGCATTCTAACTCTGTGGAATGAACTTATTCGTTATTACAAATTAAGAGATTTGGCCGTTGCGAAGTTTGTTGCTGAAAAATGTATTACCCAAAACATAGATTTGACTTTTTAAAAGGCGCATTTCTATTTAGGGCGTTCCCAAATTAAAAAAAAATAATGTTGCCCTATAGTTCACTGAAATAAAAACCCAAATGTACATTTTTTAAAAAGTGTGCTATGAACCACCAATAAACATGTCAATCACGTGTTTGTGGTGCATATTTTTAAAATCAAAGTACAGATACGTTTTAATTTAAAAATCATTGCCCTTTAGCTGAAATGATTGTAAAAGGCGTATAATAAAGCCAAGTGAAGATAAAACGAACCTTTTTTTTGCCGAGCTCTTCCCCAAGGACCCGCCGGGGAGGACATTCCTCCACCTACCACCAACTCATCAAGGACTCTTTCATAATTTTCGTGATTGGACAATACACTGTCTTCAAGGTGCAATCCGGCCCTGAACTCGTACAAACTGATGATCAGAATACATTTCCAGTAAGACACTGACCTGGCACGGGAAAAGCGACAGCCTGTCACTGCCAACGAGAACTGTGATTCTGAGCAGCCAGTGCTTTCACTAAGTGGCTTTACAGAAAGCAGCAATTGCTCATGTTAATATTTACAACAAATACACCAGTTGCATTTGAAAACGACAGCAACCCGTGCTGCCACCAGACTGTTTACTGCACATAGATTATATTCCAAAATATTTATGCATATTACGAATTAAATATTTAGATATTTAAATACTATAATTCATTTAGTAAAATAAAAGTTTTTAAAAAGGACGAAATAAACGAATTGAATTTCTCAAAGTTCCCACTCTTCGAGGACAATTTAGTTACTGTTGTTGACTGCTTAGGGTAGGTAAGCTCCGTTAAATCAACTCCTCTAACTTAAATCCAAGCCATTATATCTGAAATTTCTTTCAGAATTAATCCTGTAAAACTGACCAATATTTTACCCCGTGATAAAACTGAAGACTGAATCTTCCGGAAATACTCAGCAGGTCCGACAGAATTTATGAAAAGAGACCACAGACTTTGCGTCTCAGTTCGATTACCGTACAGAAACTGGCAGACCTGCTGAGTACTTGCAGTATTTTCTACTTTTATTTCAGATTTTCAGCATCCTTAATATTTTACTTTTGCATTTTATCCTGTCAACGGGACGACCACCTACAATGTACTGAAAATACTTACAGTATTTTAAACAGCCCACGTAACTCCTGGGGATGCGATTGTGACTGCAGAGAGAAATTCCGTTTCACAATGCTTTAAAAGTGTAAGCTTCTTTTCATTAAATCTGAAAAGGAGAAAAGAGGGTTGTATTCCCAGGGAAATCCTGGCTACATTTCAGCTGATCCCACATTAAATGTTCCTTCCATTCTTCTCCCTACATTTGTTATAACTACAGGTCCCCAGCAAAATTGAAGTCAGGCATAAAGTAACCCAAGGCTTCTAAGTATTTTAATTTCACCGTAAATGTCACTAACAAATGAAATATTCATAACTGGAACCTGAATAGGTAAATTTCTGAAATATTTTCCTAATACAAAACGGCATCCGTGGGATTTTTATTTGCAGTTCCAAACTTTGAAATAAGAATAATGCCATTACAGTAGATCAGAAAAAGACAAAAATAACATTTTTTAAAATCTGAAGTATCCGGCTTTGTGCCCCGTGAATGTTTTTCTTTTAAATTCGGGCGGTGTGACTAAACCACCAGAGAACTCTCTAATAAAACCATTGATAAAAACAATGATAACAATTGACGAGTGTGAACAGACAACGGACTTTTCTGTGATACAGTAAAGCTATTGTGCTATAGTGAAAGTGATCTGAAGAACAGGCTCCAAAAAGATCCAACAGCTGCTTCATCATATGAAAAACCGACAGTTATATGTAAAGTGGTTTAGGAGTGCATTGGTTTCAGCAAATAAGTACTTACATGATACCTTTAAGATCGTCACATACTATATAATAGCACTTGGATTTATTTAAATTGTTTTTAAATATTTAAACATTCATTTTATTTTTGTAAAAACGGCAGTTGAGAGAGAAGCACCAGAATCACACCCAGAAATAATACGGACATTAATCCGGAGATTCAATATATTTAAAGTAGTTGAAATATACACGCAAATTTGAAAATGCTCGACTGGATTGTATCTACATTCTGTAAAAGGCCGAATGTTAATTTTAGATTGATAACCCAGCAGCAAACAATATATACTTAATACAACCGTCAGCCAAGAATTGTTTCTTTTTATGAAGGCTGCAAGTTTTCTCCCGTTTTGCCAAGAAAGGAGAATATTTGTCGCCCTGCAGCCTTCTGATGAATTTCGAAGCATAATCCGAGTGGGAAAAGACAGTGAGGAAAAATTGTCTTCTTCAATATTTATATTTGCCAATTAATTTTGTCCGGGCTCGAATGTGCATGTATTTAGCAAAAGCTAAGAACTAACCCAACATATTTCTGATTCGTCACTGGCTGACCTCGGCCGTATTTAAAACCAAGGCTTGTTTTACAAGTATTTGCATTTCCCCCTATAATATACTATTTCATCATAATCTTTTCAACCAAACAGCAATATTTCACAAGACATAGGAGTTTAAATACTACATGTTTCTAGCTGATCGGAACTGGTGTGTGTTTCTTGTCGTTACTTTTGTTTTATTAACACTTTCTCTGCAGATTTCGAAATCCAAGGCCGAAAACATACAGCAGGGATGATAAAAGTTTCAGTGGTGTGACTCGTTGCAGTATTCCAGTTCCAAAAACAAAATGATAACTTATAAACATTCCATGGGGCAATATTCAGATAGGGCAATTAATTCACGGGGAAGAAAAACCTAATCTTTATGTTAGAATGCATTACTTTTGAAAATAAAGTTTATCCAAGTAGTGATATCGTTTTGCCGGGATAGCAAATCCATCTTTCACACCTGTGTAGAAAGTGTGCGCTGACTCATTAATGCGACTGAAAACATTACACACTTATTTTAGAGGTTAAATACATGACATATAGGACTGTTATTTTTACGCTGTAATGTACCAGATAGATGCTATATTTCAAAAGAAGCATGTTTCACAAGTTGTGTTAAGGGACAAGTTAAACACATTCGTTTTAGTGTAATATCTATCTCTCTAGTTTCAAGATTTGTTCAATAATGTTGACTTCATATTTTCAAAAAATGAGATATCCGTGCAATCCAACTAAATATCGGAGGTAAATACATACAATCGTTAAACTTTAGTTGGGTCGGAGGAAAAGGGAAGTATTTTGGAGTTCCGAATGTTAAGTACTTAATATAACGACGCAGTTTGTGTTCAAGATTTCTCCTGCCAAGAAATGAAAACTTGTCCAGAGTCTGTACCCGTAAAGAATTAACTTCATTAAGTGTGTTATCGTCCTGGATATCATTAACTCAGTTTTCAACTCTTATGAAGTTCTGTGGTTCTTCGTAGCAGTTTAATTTCTGTTAGTCAAATTAATGGGTATATGCTTTAGTTTAAAAATAATTCCAGGTAAAATTCAAGTTTATGTTACAAAATCACAGATACATTTCTGGACAAGCACGAGATGATTAATTTTAGATTTTTCTCTTGGGGATAAACAGGGAATAATGTTACATTTTGAGGAAGATCGGGAATTTAATGCTAAATTACGTTTTCAGGTTGAGAATATGGGAATTGAATGTTACAGTTTTGTGTGAAAATGAAATGATTCACGTACATTCGGCAAATTAATGTAAACGTTTCTAACGAGAAGCGGAGAATGTACATGACTGAGAGTCAACGCTACGTATGAGTCAGTAATGTTATATTTTCTGATGGAATTATAGGTATTAATGTTACATTATGGGTGAGGATGGGAGGAATTAATATTACATTTTCTACGGCGGAATGGAAAATTAGCCGTACATTTATGGATGCGAATGGAGAGGGGCTAATGTTATATTTATGTGAGGATTAACGTAATCCATGTTAAATTTCTTTGTATGAGAGTTAAAGTTATAATCCGTTCCAAAATAGCATAGATAGTTAGATTTCAAGTTTATAATGGGGAAATCAATGTTACATTTTCTGATGAAACTAAAGGAAATCAGTTTACATCTTCTGAGTCTGCATGGAAAATGTAATATTTTCTGGTTGGTAGCAGTTAATGTTGCTGTTTTGAATCCGAATGGAGGCGGGGGGCGTGGGCGGTCGAGTGGGGATTACTGTTACATGTTCTGGACAGCGATGTGTGAATTATAGCGTTTGAGAATGGTGGAACTTAAAATCACATTTTTTGCTTGGGAATGAGGGAATTAATGTTACATTTACTGAATTAAAATGGGAGAATCACAGTATTGTTAGTTACTGTGTTACAATGGGGAATTAGTAGTACATTTATGGACCAGCATTAGGAAATTAATACCACATTTTCTGGGTGGGAATGGAAGGATTTATTTTACAACTATGAGCAAATATTGGGGAATAAATGGGATTAAATATTAAATTTTCTATTGATGTTATACTTCCCGCATGAACATCAAGAAGTTCATATTATATATTCACTACATTTTCTGAATGGGAATAGGGCATTATTGAGATTCATGGATCATAAAGAGAAATTAATGCTACATTTTAGATGAGAAATACAGAGAGAAGTCATGTTACAGTGAAAAAAAAATTAAACAGATCTGAATTACATTGACAGAGCTTTAATTAATTGTAAAACTTTGCAAAATTACTAAGAAAAAGCTTAAACATTTTAGTTGGTTTCCAAAACATTTTCCTAACAGTGAAATGGGGATCCATCTTGGATAACTTTCAATTTAGCTGTGAATTAATTGGAGCTATTTGTGGCAAGTTGTCCAGAACAGCAGAGAAAATCTTTGTTAGGAAAGGATAGGAAGCGATAAGAAAAAGATTGTGAATAGACCAGGAAAATCAGATTGGGAATGTAAACTGGTGCAGAATGGAAAAGAGAGAGAGGAGAGAGAAGATCCTAATAAAGTTTTAAATAGAACAATTTATCCTGTTAAAATTGTTCTTATTTTAAAAATGGACTCTTGCTGGATTTTAAAATGGCTGTAATTGAACATAAAATGTGTAAATTGAGTATTTCCATGGGTTTCCAGCAATTACTATGACAAGATCAAACTCATCACTCCATAGAAAGAGATATTTCTTGCATTATATGAACATCTATGCCCAGTCAACATTAGCAAACAAGATGTTTACCTCATCCTGTTCTGAATAAAAAAGGCCAACAAAATCTGTTATTGATTGACTCAGTGCAAATGACTCCCTAATTATCTGCTACAAAACAGAATGGTTTCTGTCAAGTGAACATAAAAGCGACCATGTTAACTGAAATTACTGGTTTGTTTAAATCACCTTCATCTACAAACATCTTTATCTTTTGTTCTAAAAGAACAAACAAAGAACTGCCAATGCTGGAGATCTGAAACAAAAGAGCTCTGATTAAGAGTCACCTGACTCAAAACATTAACTCTGCTTTCTCCCCACAGATGCAGCCAGACCTGGTGAGTTTCACCACCAATTTCTGTTTTTGTCCTTTGTTCCTCGGTCTGTTTGCAACACCAGTACAGCAAGCAACACCAGTACAGTAAACAACTCCAGGTTCAGCTAAACATGTGCCTCTGATCCTGCTGATTTTTGGGAAGAAACTTGCATTTTGTTTGTGATGAAAATCAATTCTCAGCTTACAACAATTACACCTTCAACATCAATTTGATTGTCTCTGAGCTCTTGGGAGGAGGACACCTGTGCACAGCCAACTGAAAGAACCTCAACTGGACAATGATTTACTGGACTGTTTAACTGAAGTGAACTGATTCTGATATATTTGGTAGGAAGCAATTTGTTCTTCTTTTTCTTTTCTCTTTCCTTTCTTGAATGAATGTGTTTTGAACAATGACCCTGAGTTTTGAATGCTGTAATCAACACTGCTTTAACTAAAAAACAAAATCACTGCATGTAATTTTAAATTGGACTTCACAAACAGGGTTTAGTGAATTTCACCACCACATATTTTTAAGAGATACTTCTATTATGGACAAGAGAGGAGGACAGTAACAATAATCAATTTAGTACCTCACCCCCTATACATTATTGAACAGAGAAAAAGAGATTAAATACTTTTACCACATCATATATTATTTCCATGTGGAAATAGAAGAGATGCACAGGCATAATTCAGTGAGATTATAAAAAGTAATTTTAAGAAACTGCAGAAATTAACACATCTATCAACTTTGTCTTTAAGTTTGTGCAAAAAATTAAAGTCT